CCCGCCGATGGCGCGCCTCTTACCGTTATGATTTTATCCTGTTACTACATGGGAGCCCGTGACATTGGGGATTAATCTCTAGATTTGACAGCTGGACGGCGCGGCCGAAGACGCGCCGGAGAAGAGGCTGTGGCTGCCGGCCCCGTCGCGCCGGTTCGTGCCTTGCGTCTCGCCGTCGCTCGAGTACAGACGTACGCGCATTGGCACTTCACCTAGCAGTAGAATCTCGCCCGGTCTGGCGCACATTCTCGTAGGCCGTTCTGATTTTGGTCGGCCTGTTTTTTCAGGTCCGGAGGCATCGAGGGGGTACCTGCTCGTACACACCAATGGCGGACTCAACCAGATGCGCGCCGGGGTGAGTCATTGGTTCGTCCTGGTAAAAAAATTCCCTAGTTGCCGTGGCATAGGAATAATGGTCCAGTTTGCATTAGATATGTTTGACTTACGTGGTGGGAAGCTGGAACCTAGCGTGCGTGCATGTGGTGTGCTTGATCGGGGTTGACGGTTTTGTAGCATTTCATCATCAGTTTTTGTGGGCAGTGTTTCGGTGCTGTATTCAATGCGTACTGGTGGTTCTGGTGCTAGTGTAGACACCCGACTTCTGTGGGTAGTGTTTTGGTGTTTTATCCCCATCTAGCGATATGCCTGCAGAAGCTTGAAATGGTGGCTGTGAAACTAAACTGTTTGCTTTGTTTTTATTGCCCAACCGAGTTATCGGTGGAAGAGACATGAATGGCTCAACTGCACTCAGGATAAAGTCCTGGGTATAATTGGTGGATGTGTGCTGTCTCAGCACTCTTCTGAATTTCTTTTCCCAATGTGTCGCAGTCAATTTGTTTGTCATGATAAAAGATGATTATCTGAAGGTGGTATTCCCATATTTGTGCCATCACTTCAGTCACTATCTTGTACGTTTCATTTATGGCAACCAAGACAGCTGTATATTCTTGATAAAAAAGATGCCTGATTTGTTAGGTGATACCAAAAGTGAATGCATTCTCTTTGAGCATACACATCCCCTAAGAGAAGTAACATCGATCCTGCAAGTCCTTTTGAGTTTGATGCGTTAACAGAATTTGCTGGTTTTGTTTAGGCGGGCTTGAATTGAGACGGCATATCTTTTGCAAGTTGGATGTTTTTTCCTATTCTTAGGAATGATCTTAACAAAAGTGTGATGTGACTTGACAAATATAGGAAAGATGAAGCATATGTTCATTGTTTTGTCTTCTATCTTGTGTATACATGTCCGCGTTTACCAATCAATCATAATCATGGGAAGCTTCACTTTAAATGCAAGCTCCCACACACTTCCAATTTTTCACTGATTTGTTCTTATTCTTATGGCAGATCAGTGATATGGTAGCAGTTGCACGTATACTCAAGGCTACACTGATAATCCCAGAACTTGATAAGAAATCGTTTTGGCTCGACAAAAGGTGAACACTGCATGACTGTTTTTGCTCTGAGCCCTTCCCTTAACTGATCAAAAACTGACAGAACCGTTTTTCATTTCTCAACGCAGCAACTTTTCAGATGTCTTCGATGAAGAACACTTTATACGTTATTTGGCAAACGATGTGAAAGTTGAGAAAAAGTTGCCAAAGGAATTGGTGAAAGCACCAAAATCTGTTAGGTACTTCAAGAGTTGGTCTGGAGTAGATTATTATCAGAATGAGATTTCTCCACTATGGGAGCACCGTCAGGTTTGGATTCCACAACTAGTGCCCTTTTGTGGCTGCGTACTAATCAATCGTAAGCAGTAGTTACTGGATGCAAGTATTTGGAACTGTTATTCTGATCAAAGATTTGTATCAGGTTATTCGAGCTGCTAAATCAGATTCTCGCCTTGCAAACAACTTCCTTCCGCCTGATATTCAAAAGCTTCGCTGCCGGACCTTTTTCCAGGCACTTAGATTTGCTCCCCCAATCGAAGCTTTAGGCAATGTAAATCCTGCTCTAAAGTCCATCACGGGAAAAATATAACATTATAGTTTGAACTTCTAACGTATAAATGTATTGACAAATAATATCAACCAATTTGCAGCTATTGGTGGAGAGGATGAAATCATTTGGACCATATATTGCTTTGCATTTACGCTATGAGAAGGATATGCTTGCTTTTAGTGGGTGTACGTATGGTCTGTCAGAGACCGAATCAGAGGAGCTTGCAATGATCAGGCAAGGCCTTTAAAATAGACGTGTTAGTCATTGCACTGTCTTTACCTTCTTGGTTTTAGAACTCTATAGTATTATGTGACTTACTTCTTCACCCATTTTAACAGAGGAAACACAACATACTGGAAGGTGAAAGACATTGATCCATTAGGACAAAGATCACATGGTCATTGTCCCCTGACACCAAAGGAGGTTGGAATGTTTCTTTCTGCCCTAGGATATCCATCAAGCACCCCAGTTTACATAGCTGCAGGGGAGATATATGGAGGTGAATCCCATATGGTCGATTTGCAATCCCGATTCCCAATTCTGATGAACAAGGTATGAACAGTGCCATTTTGTTTTTTCTAGTGTGACAACATGACTTTTGTTTGTTCAGCATATTGTGTCTTCTCCATTTGCAGGAGAAACTGGCCTCTGCTGAAGAACTGCGACCGTTCAGCCAATACGCTTCTCAAATGGCAGCTTTGGATTACATCGTTTCAGTGGAAAGTGATGTCTTTATTCCATCATTTTCTGGGAACATGGCACGGGCTGTTGCCGGTCATCGGCGTTTTCATGGCCACAGGAAAACAATCAGTCCTGACAGGTGTAACCACAACTAGCACTTGTCTATAAAGCTGCTGCCTCACTCTTCCCTTCTCGGTCTCATTTTTTTTTTCTGTACTCAGGAAAGCATTAGTTCATTTGTTTGACAAAGTTGACAGTGGATTACTCGATGAAGGCAAAAAGGTATCGCAAAGGATAATAGAAATGCACCAGAAGAGGTACTGAACTGGGCATGAGAGCCAAAGGACCTGTTGCTCTATTTTTAACTGTTTATGTTTCTTATGCTGTTCTTCATCTGTATTCAGACAAGGTTCTCCTCGGAAACGGAAAGGTCCCGTGTCAGGCACAAGGGGCAGCGATAGGTTTCGCTCAGAGGAGGCATTTTATGAGAACCCTCTTCCTGATTGCCTGTGTCAATCGAATGACGATTCTATTGTCAGCATATAACCACGATCATGGAGTTAACCGGTCTTCGCCACCCCTGCCCCCTGGTCAGCAATCCCAGGTACATAGAGCATAGGGAGGCGCATACTGATAAAGTTCCACAGCATTAGAGCTTCTGCTCAGGTGACATTACAGTCCAACGATTCGTTGGCACACACGGCCCGGCTCTCATTCCGCAGAACAAGTTGCCAATGTATTCCCTCTGTAAACTAATATAAGAGCGTTTAGATCACTACTTTAGTGATCTAAACGCTCTTATATTAGTTTACGGAGGGAGTATCAAAGAATCGAAGATGTTCAGAGCAGCTGTACAGCGGTTTAGATGTAACTGTAGTTTGTAAGCTTGGGCATAATTATTACCTCTTGTAAGTATAGGACTAATAAAGAGCAGAGGTTAGTTTCTGTTGAAACATCTCAACGCTAGTAGTATCTCACTGGAGATGGTTTCTGTTGAACTGACATCACACGATGGCAGCATGAGGATGAGTATGTTCAGAACACGGCCGTGCAGGGCTTTAGATGTAGCTGCATTTGTAAGCCTCTTTGTGTAGGTAAAACCAATACAAATAGAATAAGAGGAATAGGTGAAACATGCTGAATAACTAGTTGGTTATTTCTGAATGAAAGTTTGAGCTTGGAGGAAGGAACTATACAGCAATGCACTGGAAAACATTGCACTAACATAGTTTCTGATTTCTTTGTTAATAAGTGCACACCAGAATGTGCTAAATTTCTTGTGTCTTGTGTCTTGACAGTTACAATCATGTTCTGTTTGTCACCATGAAAATCACGAAGGAGCTGATAAACAAACGCCCGTCTCATATGGCTGTTTACACAAGAAGAGTACAACTACCTACAAAAAATAACAAAGAGGATAGACTCAGATTTCAGTGAGCAACAACCATTAGTTAGTACTCCCTCCGTAAACTAATATAAGAGCATTTAGATCAGTGATCTAAATGCTCTTATATTAGTTTACAAAGGGAGTACTCCCGTTCACCACTAACTCAGTTCATCACGTCAGACTAGAGGGAATCAACCAAGTTCATGGCCATTTTTACCATCAAATAAGTTCATCAAGCCAAGCTGGAGTAAATCTTATGTTCCATGACCAATTTCACCAAAGTAGTTCAGTTCATCACGTGCAAGCTTGAGGAAATCAACACAGTTCATGACCACTTTCACCACCAAATCAGTTCATCATGTGCAAGCTTGAGGTAAGCAACAAAGTTCATGACCATCCTCAAAAAAGAAGTTCATCACCAATTTCACCACCAAAATCGGTTCATCACGTCAAGCATGAGGAAATCAACAAATTTTCATGACCAATTTCACCATCAAGTAGTTCATCATACGCCAAACTTGGGACATCAACAGAGTTCGCGACCAAATTCACCACCAGTCGATCAGAGACGACGATCCAAGACGATCAACGAAGCAAAACAGGGCAGAAAGACACGAAACATGATCACATCAACAAGGCGTCTCTCACACTCGCGCAGGCCATCCTCCATGAGCACTACCACTACCACTGCTAGACTCGATCCGTCTTCCATGAGTGCTACTACCACTACGACTACTCGGCTCGCCTCCCTACTCGATCGCACCTGGAACACGTCCTTGCGCTCCTCCTCCTTCACCTTGGGCACGGTCAGCTTCAGCACGAAGTTCTTCATCTCGGCCTTGATCTTGTCCATCTTGTACGCGCCAGCGGGCATCTCGATGCGGTGGCTGTACCTTGACATCGCGGGGTCGTAGTCGCCTTTCTGGGGCACCTTCTCGCCCCCGCCCTTGATCACCAGGATGTTCCGCTCCGCCCACACCTTCACGCGCTACTTCCCGAGCCCCAGCATCGGCACCGTCAGGTACACCGCGTCGTCGTCGTCCTTCTCCACCCACCACCCCCGCCGCGGCGCCCCTGCCGCGGAGGAGAGGCCGGGCGGGGCGGCACCGTCCTCCATCAGAGCGTACAGACGGTCCACGCATGCCGGGATGCCTACCGGGTCGAGCACATCTGCGGAATCAAGAGCGGCAAAAGCTGTTGTGATCAGAACTCAACTTGAATCAGAACCCCGATTCGCCTCACGATGCTAAAGGCGAACGCAGAGAAGGAACGCGGCGGGGGCGGGACAGGTGAGGACGCATGCATACCCTGCGAGGGGAAGCTGGGGACGACGAAGTCGCGGGCGCGGGCGGGGCGGCGGTAGCCGGCGTCGGCGTCCTCGTCCTCGCTGTCGCTGGAGTCGTCGTCGTACCAGCGGGGCTCCTTGCCCTGGGTGCTGTTCGGGCCGCGGGCGGGGCTGACCGCGGCGGGGCGAGGCGCGTAGAAGGCCACGGGCGCACCGGACGCGGACGGCTCGGCGAGCAGCTTCTTGGGGAAGCTGGGCAGCGCGGCACCCTTGGAAGCGACGGCGGAAGCCATGGTCTCCCTCTCCCCTCTCTCCTGTGATTTTGGATTCTGGTGGAGGGGGTGCGAAATGATTGACTTGACTCGTTCTATTAGCTTAGCAATTGATTGTTTAGTATGTTGCTATTGCTTTCTTCATGACTTATACATGTTTTTATGACCATGAGATTATGCAACTCCTGTTTATGGAAGGAACATTTTGTGTGCTACCAAACATCACAACGTAACGAGGTGATTATAAAGGTGCTCTACAGGTGTTTCTGAAGGTACTTGTTGAGTTGACGTATTTCAAGATTAGGATTAGTCACTCCGATTGTTGGAGAGGTATCTGTCGGCCCTCTCGATAATGCACATCACTATAAGCCTTGTAAGCAATGTGACTAATGAGTTAGTTGCGGGATGATGCATTGCATAACGAGTAAAGAGACTTGCCGGTAACAAGATTGAACTAGGTATTAAGATACCGACGATCGAATCTCGGGCAAGTAACATACGGATGACAAAGGGAACAATGTATCTTGTTATGCAGTTTGACCGATAAAGATCTTCGTAGAATATGTAGGAGCCAATACGGAAGAGGGCTTTTTTGGGCAAAAAACACATATTTGACCTAAGGACAAAAAGAATTCACAATCTAAACTCCTTTCGAAAAAATTGCACCGAGCTGACCATTTCGAGTGGCGCCCGACAGATAGGCGCCACACTATACTGCAGCGTCAGGAGCTTAGGCGCCACACGCCTGTCCAACATGGCAGCCCGGGCCCCACTCCTGGTTGTGCAGCGCCTAGCTGAAAGGAGTTGCACAATGTAGTGCAGCGCCTAACCGAAAGGAGTTGCACTACCTTATATTAAAACTATTGTAACTTTTAATCCGTGCATCCGATGAAAAAGTGCCTTATATGAAAGTTGTATATTTTTCCGTGTTCTACGCAATGGTGGCATTTTCATCTATGTTAGGATCAATTTGCTTGATGAAAACCTTATTGCAAAAGTGCATCATAATATAACTGACAGAATCTGTTAAAATTTACAAACTTGGCATGATGATAGCCATTCACCTATAGCTCTGACACGTTTTCAGCCTACATGAGTTTTGCACTGCATAATGTGTACTTTCACGCCATGCCTATGCTTGCCATGTTAATCATCCTTAACATGATCATTTCTTGGATCTAAGTGACTAACATGATATAAGTGAACTTCTGTTACAGAAAGTTACATTTTGTAAGATTCATAGTAATTAATACTGACATCATATGAATATGATCTAACTATGAAAGTTGGAAAATCTTATGTCTACCTTAAGTCTATGTCATTTTCATACCCACTAAATATTTGCATCACTATGTTTTGAGATACTAAAGTAACTAAGGCAATGTTCTGCCAGATTGACACGTTAATTTCACCAAGTCACTGGATGTCACCAAGCCACGACCGTGCTGATAAAATGCAAAGTTCTGCCACTTGGGTTCAACTTGTCAACCGCCTTTTGTGCGGCCGCCCACTTCTGACAATCTTTGTTGATTGTCGACGGAGCGAAGATATCGGTCGGAGCGGTCGATTCTACTCTTGTTGTGTAGATCAAAGTGCTCCTCCATCCGGTTCCAATAAGCATCTCTACTTTGATCACCTCCAACGGATGGATCCTTCGACCCTTGCAACCAAGTATTGCATAGTAAGACGTCTTCTTCGTTGGTGTAGTTGCCTCCTCTTCCTTTCGGTGCGTCGACAATGCCCTCACCATCCTCGTCCACCTCGAACTCATGGTCATCGAAATGCATGTCATTGATTTGAGACCAATGCGAATTGTTGGAGCCAACACCCATAGTTGACATATATGCCTCATCGTTGAAGCTACAAAGTATATACAATGAAGCAAATAAGCTATCTATACGTGTGCATTCAAAATATCACAACAATAAAAAGTTGGCGAAATTTTATTACTTTGGGGCATTTCCTCGAACACCTTGTGCGCGTCGGCTGCCGGCTCAACAAGTGAGCTCGTCGGCGCTTCGGTAGCTTCCGCACCCGTCACACACCCTGCAAGCTTCTTCCTCGACGGATTCGAAGAGCCGGAGCCGTCCGACGCCTTGTTCTTCTTCGCGGATGCCTTGCACTTCTTCGGCCGCGCCGCATTTGGGAGCTTTGAGAGGGGGGCACGTGGCTTCATGGCGGGTTAGATCATATTCATATGATGTTAGGATTAATTACTATGGATCTTACAAGATGTAACTTTCTGTAACAGAAGTTCACTTATATCATGTTAGTCACTTAGATCCAAGAAATGAACATGTTAAGGATGATTAACATGGCAAGCATAGGCATGGCATGAAAGTACACATTATACAGTGCAAAACTCATGTAGGTTGAAAACGCGTGAGAGCTATAGGTGAATGGCTATCATCATGCCAAGTTTGTAAATTTTAACAGATTCTGTCAGTTATATTATGATGCACTTTTGCAACAGGGCTTTCATCAAACAAATTGATCCTAACATAGATGAAAATGTGACCATTGCGTAGAACACAGAAAAATGTACAACTTTCATATAAGGCACGTTTTCATCGGATGCACGGATTAAAAGTTACAGCAGTTTTAATATAAGATAGTGCAACTCCTTTTGGTTAGGCGCTGCACTACATTGTGCAACTCCTTTCAGCTAGGCACTGCACAACCAGGAGTGGGGCCCGGGCTGCCATGCTGGACCGATGTGTGGCGCCTAAGCTCTAGGCGCTGCACAGTATAGTGTGACGCCTATCTGTCGGGCGCCACTCGAAACGGTCAGCTCGGTGAAATTTTTTCGAAAGGAGTTCAGATTGTGAATTCTTTTGGTCCTCAAGTCAAATATGTGTTTTTGCCGCTTTCTAGGGGAGGGGATGGAGGAGTGGGTTTAGAAGGTTCTGGAGAGATTGGTTGGGGCCACGAGTTTCCCAGGAAGATCGGGAGACCACAACTGTATTATTCACGCTGGCTGATTTAGGATTAGGTCACCATGGATTACTAACCTCGTGGGCGTTTGCATCTCGCCCACACGCGTGGATCCGCGTTCTTTCGTGGGTGCATGAATCTTGGCATGTTTCTACATATTTGCAATATCTAACTTGTTGTATTCGTATGCTTTTGTATTTGAGTTTTTTTAACAGCTTCGCCCCTCCGGAGATTTCTTTCAAGCTCCGCCACTGCACCAATCTAGGGGAGGAAATATACTCAAAATATATATAAAGAAGTTGCAAAGACAATGAAGGCAGAATTGAAGGAAGAAATTTTAAAAGAATTACGATCAGAAATGAACGAAAATTTTGAAGAGCTAAAGAAAGAATATGATCAAAAATACGATTTCACCATTTCTGAGACAGACCATATGGACATTGCCGTGCACGGGCAACCAATTGAATAAAGAGGGAAAACAATAATCAAATATACTCAAATATGAATTGATATGAATATCAATTATTCGGGCACGGAGGACCTATACCCGAATATTGAAAGAACTCGAAATATTGATAAGGTGTTATCAATAATATGGGCGGGGTAGACCCATACCCAAAAAAATAAAAAAATAAAAAAATAATAATAACAATAATAATGGTAGCAAGAATAATTATGCAAGAAGCAACCATGCAACATCCGTGTCAGGAAAGGTCTTCATTCAAGACAAGACCCTTCATCCAAGTTGCATGAAGACAATATTCAACCGTGCATGGATAACTCATAGCACGGTGCATACAAGAACAAGAGTTGCAATGAAGACAAGAGCTTCAGTCTGGACAAAATCATCTGTCAAGACAAAGATTCCAGTCAAGACAAAAGTTCCAGTCAAGACAAAATTCGCGGTCAAGACAAATATTCCAATCTGGACAAAATTCTTAGTCTAGACAAAAATATCAGTCTAGCGTCGGAGTCACGCAAGGCTTGATGTCGCAAACACTGAGGCACTTCAGCGGTGCATAAGGCTTGTCAAGCTACGAGATACCCCGGCCTCCAGCTATGACGCAGAAGAATAAAAGAGGGGAGCATCCAGCATCCCTCGCGCACTATAAAAGGGGGAGGACTGAGCGCGGAGAGACACACACAACAGCAGTCTACACAACACCAGTCTCCAGAGCCTCGCAAGCACCAGAGCACCATTTCTCTCACTCTCCTCAGTAGTAGTAGTAGCCATCTCCTGTTGTAATAAGCCTTTGAGGCATTTGTATCATCCAGTGGTGGAGGTAGGCAGAAGGTAGTCTTCCTTTCTCTTTGTAATCCCTTCGGGGTCTCCCGAAAGGGAAATCCGTATGTAAATTATGTTGTCGAAGTGAAGTAGTTTCGGGTTTCACTTGGTTTTTATATTATGAATTTACGAAATGAGTTCTTACGCTAGGGATCCTATAGGAGAAACCTCTGTCGGTAGTTCTCTGTTTAGCCGATGTGTGGCGTTTGAATGAGAACCTTGTGGCCGTAGAGAAGTGTTCCCTTCGGGTGGAACTGCCTGGGAAGACGGTAGGAATTCATCAAATAAATTTGTAATATAAACATCAAGTGAAAGAACTTAGCTGCTTCTGAAGCAACATAGTGATGAATACGGAGAGTACCGAGTAGGATTAACACAACTGTTGCATACCCGTAGGCTATCTCGTTGGTTTCGCCAATCCGTAAAAGATCCTGCATATTGATTAAGAATTAGTTAATTAAATAATTTCACAAAATTTAGATTACGTAAGAAGTTAATAAGTACTTTATATTTTATTTGATAATATATTTGTGTGTTGGAAAATAATAATAATAATAATAATAATAATAATAATAATAATAATAATAATAATAATAATAATAATAATAATAACAACAATAATAATGGTAGCAAGAATAATTATGCAAGAAGCAGCCATGCAACATCCGTATCAGGAAAGGTCTTCATTCAAGACAAGACCCTTCATCCAAGTTGCATGAAGACAATATTCAACCGTGCATGGATAACTCATAGCACGATGCATACAAGAACAAGAGTTGCAATGAAGACAAGAGCTTCAGTC